CTGAAAACTCAGCAGACATTGCAGCTGAAGCCAAGGACGGTGTGGAATATAGTAAGCGCACTACAGATGAAAGAAACAAGCGCAAAAAGAAGTGGAAGGAGTTAAACCGGTCTTTATTGGAGGAGTTAACTGCTCTTCGAAAATTGCAAGAAAGCACTGCTTGGCAATTGGCAGAGCTTGTTAAAAAAGAAAATAGCTACAAACGGATAATTGCAAGTTTAGAAACGCAATTGGCTACTTCAAATTATAACCTAAAGGTGCCGCCCAAACAGCAAATAGAAAATTGGTCGGTAAATGAACCACAAAATACGCAGACTAATGCCCGGAATACACCACCGATACAGGGTATTACGCCGGTTATAAGCCAGAAACCGACGCAGGCAGGCAAGAATCAGATGCTGCCTGGGACTAAAAAGATGGATAATCAACAAACGACAAATCCGATGGCCAATCAACTTCCGGTTCAGGCAGGCAAAAAGCCAATACTGCCAGGGGATGGACAATTGGTAAATAGACAACATTTGAAATCACCGGCTACTACACAGCAAAATCAAATTGATGAAGACATGGATACAACTGAATGGATCCAAGTAAAAGGAAAAAAGGCTCCCAAGCAAAAAATTTCTTCAACCACGGTCCAGGAAATCAACTCTAATAATAAAACTGGAGAAAATATTAACAAAGGTAAGGCCAGCCCACCATCATTTAAGATACATGACATAAATATGAGAGAACTAACAATTAATCTAAAGAAAATTATTGACAAAAATTCATTCACCACTAAAATTTTACGTGGAAAAATGACTGAACTAAAACTAAAAAAGAACAGTGACATTGACATTGTTAAGAAGTTTCTAGAAGATAATAACATATTTTATTATACATACACACCTAATGAATTAAAACCTAAATCCTTGTTGATTAAAGACTTATCAGAAACGTATCAAAAAGAAGATATTGAAGAATTTATTAAAGAATCAGATTTAAATCTAGATGTTAAAAATATTATTAATATTAAAGGCAATCGATGGTTGATACAGCTAGGCAATTCGACCGATTTGGGCGCTTTTAAAAAACTTAATTACATTATAAATTCTAAAGTAAAAATCGAAAAATATAAGAAAAATGGACTAATACAGTGCAGGAACTGTCAAAGACTCGGTCACATAGGCACTAATTGCAAGATGCCCTTCAGGTGCGGAAAGTGCCCTGGTGGTCACGAAAAGGGACAATGTCCCATTCCAAGAAAGGAATTAAATAACGAAATTCAGTTGTTTGAAAATCCACTCACAGGCGAAACTGTTGAGACCGTTGGCATACCTTTATATTGCGTAAATTGCAATATATATGGTCATGCAGCAAGCGCCAAGGAATGTCCCATAAAAATAAAGATCGCTGAAAAACAGAATGAAGCTAGGGAAATTCGAAAGAATTCACTAATCCAAGCTAGCTCTCAAATGCAGCGAATTGCTAACAATAGAATAACACCAAGCAATACAGGCACAACTTTTTCGTACTCAAACGTGGCAAGGATAGCATCTCCAAACAAAAATAACACTCCCCCATTAATGACTAAATCGGAAGGTTTTATGAATACACTCAATGCAGACTGTATTCGACTTCTCGGTAAAGATCTCTACACTTGCATTAAAAAGATAGGATCACATACTGATACCTATAAGCGCTTAAAAACGGATGCTGAGAAAACAAACTCTCTGTATCAGATATTTACAAGTTTAGCTTTAGATGACTAAATTAAAGATAATATTCATAAACGTAAACTCCATAGTATCCAAAACTAAAAAACATTATTTACAAATTTTTGTTAATCAAAATAAGCCGGATATACTAATGTTAGCGGAACATGGACTATCAGCTAACCGTAAATTTAATCTTAGAGGCTACAAAACACACAGACAGGACAATGAAAATAGCCGAAAGGGGGGTACGGCTATCTGTGTTAGAGACATTTTTAAATCTCAAAGGCTTTCAGTAGTATTCAATAATATGGAAGGTACCGCTATCAAAATAAGACAGATTGGAGGCAGAAATATAACAGCGATGTCCTTATACTGTAAACCTGGTACAACTCTGAATCTAATTGATCTAGACACAATAAGTGGGATTGTTGGTTCTGACGACGCTATTATTGGTGGAGATTTAAATGCTAAGCACCCCGATTGGGGCGGAAATAACATTAATCCTAGTGGTAGGGTATTAAAAACTTGGTTGGACAGCAATCCAAACATCTATATAAAACCAACTGATGGTCCAACAAGGCTTTCGTCAACCACGGAGTCATTTATAGACATATTCTTGTCCACCATCAATATTTGGACGCCGGATAGACCTGAAGTTCTAGATTTTGAATCAGACCACAAGGCTATAATGACATATATAGCAGATAACTTAGATAGACAGCAACCAAGGAAAATTTATGATTTCAAAACTACCAAGAAAATAGTACTCAATGACACCCTTGCTACAGAACTAACGAACAGTACACCTCCGATTAACAGAAATATAACACCCACAGAAATAGATAATGCAATAGATAAATTTACTACCACTTTAATTTCTGCAATGGACACTTCTATTAAAAAATTTACACCAGTAAGAAACAGTTTAGCTAAACTCCCTCCAGATATCTTAGACTTGATTGCACAAAAAAAGACAGCTAGGAGAAGATTATTCAGAATTATCGACCCACAAGAAGCCGCAACTATTAGGGCTATTATACGAAATATGGACCGTATTATTCAAGATAGGATCTATGCTTTCGAGGATATGGACTTGCTTCAAAAACTACAAAAAATTAAACCCGGAAATGACATGTTCAAAAAAGTTAAGAGCATAAGTGGACGTCTTTCTAAAACAAATATTAATTTTGTTATGGATGGTAGCACCAAAATTACGGTTGATACTGAAAAAGCTAATGTGATGGCAAAAACTTTTGCCATCCCACAGAACACCACGTCACCACTATTGTCAAATGACAATAATGCTGATTCATGTATGGTACAGTTTGGCACGGAGGCTCTTGCTAATGGCAACATTATCGGACCTCCAAGAAGACTACCCATTCGTCTAACAAATAAGGGTGAAATCGGAAATATCCTTAAATCTATGAATAATAAAAAATCTAGCGGTGATGACAAAATTCCCAATTTCATACTTCGAAAATTAGATCAAAGGGCATGTGAGTTCCTGGCGATTATATTCAACCACTGTCTAAACAATGGATATTTCCCTCTAAAATGGAAAACATCGATGGTAATACCAATTTTGAAACCTGGAAAGGACCCCACAGATCCATCTAGCTATAGACCGATTTCTATGCTTTCTTGCTTAGGAAAGCTTTTTGAAATAATAATTCTTGACAGAATCAATGATCACATTGATACCTGTGATATATTAAAAAATAATCAATTCGGTTTTATAAGACAGCACTCAACCACACATGCACTTCTTACATTAAATGACAAGATAATACGTGGTTTTAATAAGCGATGTGCAACGATTGCCGTCAGTTTGGATTTTAAAAAAGCCTTCGACACGGTTTCTATAGAAGGAATCATTGAAAAAATGAGCACGCTATATGAATTTAATCCTTATGTGGTTAAAATTACACAAAATTATCTTCGAAACAGAAAATATTATGTATGTGTTGATGAAGCTAATTCGCAACATGTAAATGTACATGCAGGGGTACCCCAGGGCTCGGTCCTGGGCCCTGTACTGTATAACTTATATTTGGCTGACATACCTCAACCATCAGAAGACCTACTCTTAATTATATACGCTGATGATATATTAATATCAGCAACACATGCTAGGGCCAGAACAGCTAATAGGCAGCTGTGTCAATACCTATCAATTCTAAAAGATTATTTTGACAAATGGAGACTCTGCTTAAACATAGAAAAGTGTAGGACAATCATTTTTAAAGGGAAGGGTGTAAATTTGTACAAAAATGCAAGACAATATATTCCCAATATAAATATTGGTAATGAAATATTAACCAACACGGAAACTTTGAAGTATCTTGGTGTTATATTCGAACAAGATATGAGTTTTATAAGGCATGTTGATCATGTAATAAAAAAAGGTCGCACTGCATATCATTACTATCAATGGTTACTGCGCAAGCGTAATGGTCTAAGCAAAAATGTGAAATTGACAATTTATAAACAAGTCGTCCGACCAACAATGGAATACGCTTTCCCCGTATGGTCATTTATTTCTTCCCACCAAATGGAACGCATAAGGATATTAGAGCGTAAAATGTTGACACATTGTCTCGGCCTTAGATGGCGTTTGACGGAACAAGGGTACTATATTAGTCCATCAATCAGGAAAATATATAACGAAAGCAAAATCGAACGTTTCGACAAATTTTCAATCAGATTGGCCATTAATTGCCTGTCTAAATGTATCTTCCATCCAAATCCAATGGTAAACAATCTAAAAATAACTATAGATGAAGTTAATAGTATTAAAGAAAGAAAAGGTTATCTACCAGCTATGAGCCTACTATGTCTTTCAAATGAAGGTTCCTTATATAATTCTATGGGAGATTTGATATTCTATCATAGAAGATACAAATCTTATAATACAGACAACCTAGTTTATAGGACCGACCAATAAACACAGGTATTCCACCATTGTAAATATTGTAAATATAGTAGTTAAGTTTATGTAGTATAGTTTTCTTTAGTTTCTTTAGTTTTAAGTAATAAGTACAACTTGTGTTTTTATTCCTTTTTCACAAGAAAGCTATATAATTATCTTAAATTTTAAACAATAATCGAACGGGCTGGCCTTACACAAAGTTCAAATATATCAACACAACAAATGTAATTCTAGATAAGTAGGTAACTACGTTAGAAATAAATCATAACTTAATTAGTCTTAAGAGACCTATGTAATGAATTGAATCTGGAAATAAATATGAATTGAATTGAATTGCTAGTTAAAACATTCGTTCTTGTGCTTTCGTGAAGTGTTAAAGTGAATTAAAAAAAAAGTGAAAAATGACTGGTCGCGGTAAAGGTGGAAAAGGCTTGGGAAAAGGTGGCGCTAAACGTCATCGCAAAGTGTTACGTGATAATATCCAGGGCATTACCAAGCCAGCTATTAGACGTTTGGCTCGTCGTGGTGGTGTAAAACGTATTTCTGGATTGATTTACGAAGAAACTCGTGGTGTTCTGAAAGTGTTCCTGGAAAACGTTATTCGTGATGCTGTCACCTACACCGAACACGCTAAGCGTAAAACCGTCACTGCTATGGATGTCGTCTACGCTTTGAAGAGACAAGGTCGTACTTTGTACGGTTTCGGCGGTTAAATATTTTCTTGACGCTATTTGGAGAAATCTTTTTTTACAACAAACCAATCGGTCCTTTTCAGGACCACAAAAAATATTAAAAAAGAGATACTTTCTTGTTGAAAATTAATTATTATTTTTTTTAATAAATATACTAATAAAAATTATAACTACATATATTAAATGTTTAAAAAATTTCCTTCCCTTACCTTTTCCGATTTTTCAAATATTTTTAATAAATTTGAATTTTATTCTAATAGTATTATCCATTTTATACCACATTTCTTTCCAAAATCATATTTTTTCCTTTCAATTATTTCCACATACCAATGCCTGTTAAAATGCCGTCGGCAATACGCATTACTAAATGCCTTTGGTTACTCATATTATGTGTGTATACCATAACTACACATACCCTATACATGTATTAGTACATAACGTTAAATTAAAATTTACTTCATCATTTTCATTACAATCTTATTTAATTTCGCTAAATTTCTATCAAAAAACAAAAATTTTCTTCCTTCGAACATATTTCCATATAAAAATGCCGCCGTCAACTCGCATTTCTAAATGCCGTTGCTTGTTTGTTCATATGCTTGCTTGCTTATATTATGTGTGTATACCATAACTACACATACCCTATACATGTATTAGTACATACGTACGTTAAAGAACAACAAGCAATGCCATGACTATTCACATCAGTGTTTTAAATTTCAAAAAATAAAAAAAATTCAATACGTTCTCATTTCAAGAAAATTCATTACAAAAATAAAATTATTTTTAGTAAATTGTACAATTTTTTTTATTTATTTTTGAAAATATTCGTAAAAAATTTATTTAATTTTTTTATAAATCGAAAATTTGTTATTTTTTTATTTTTATTTTATTTATTTTTTTTATTCAATTAAAATTTACTTCATCATTTTCATTACAATCTTATTTAATTTCGCTAAATTTCTATCAAAAAACAAAAAATTTCTTCCTTCGAACATATTTCCATATAAAAATGCCGCCGTCAACTCGCATTTCTAAATGCCTTTGCTTGTTTGTTCATATGCTTGCTTATATTATGTATGTATACCATAGCGTCACTTTATCTATGCATGTGGTAGTATTTTGTTAGTCCATGATACTAAACAACGAACCAAACAACGATGTGAGTACGATGTTCATATTGAGTGGAACATTACAAAAATAATAATTTTAATTAAAAAATAACATAAATAAATAAATTTAAAAAATTAAATTAAAAAATTAAATTAAAAAATTAAAATTTAAATTAAATTAAAAAATTGAAATTAAATTAAAAAATTAAAATTTAAATTAAAAAATTGAAATTAAATTAAAAAATTAAAATTAAATTAAAAAATTTAAATTAAATTAAAAAATTTAAATTAAATTAAAAAATTAAAAATAAATTAAAAAATTAAAATTAAATTAAAAAATTGAAATTAAATTAAAAAATTAAAATGTAAATGTAAATTAAAAAATTAAAATTGAAATTAAATTAAAAAATTTAAATTTAAATTAAATTAAAAAATTTAAATTAAATTAAAAAATTAAAATTTAAATTAAATTAAAAAATTTAAATTAAATTAAAAAATTAAATTTCCAATTTAATAACGTAATAATTTTTTCTAAACAAATTTAAATTTATTTTCCAAAAAATCCAAAATAATATTTTCATTTTTGTGTTAAAATATAAAATTTTATTCAACATTTCTTTCCATTTATTTCATTTTATTTTTCAAAACAAAAAAAAAAAAAAAAAAATCATAAAATCGCTTCTCATTTTCTAAAATTTTTCCAAAAATTTTCATTAAAAGTCCGTATAAATTTCATTTTTATTTAATATTTTTGATTTTAATATTTTCTAATTTTATTAAAATATTCCTATTAAATTCATTTTTCAATTCCATTTTTTCTTCAAACTTCTACCAATTTCATTTTTATTTTCGTAATAATTTTTTCGAAACAAATTTAAATTTATTTTTCAAAAAAAAAAAAAAAAAAAAAAATGTTTTCATTTTTCTTCTAAAATGTAAATTCTTATTCAAAATTATTTAATTTGTAATTTATTTCATTTTATTTTTCAAAAAACAGATAATAAAATCGCTTTTCATCTTCTAACAATTTTCATTAAATGTCCCTATAAATTTCATATTTTTTTCATTTTAATTTTATTTTTTTAATTTTATATTTTCTATTAATTTCTTTAATTTCATTCAAATTTTTCTATTTCATTTATTTTTCAATTCCATTTTTTCTTCAAATTCCTACAAATTTTCATTTTATTTTCCTTATTCTATAATTTTATTTCAACTACACAGCCTTTCCAATGCAAAAAAACTCTTTCAATTCTCCTCTTTTTTGCCTTCCCAAAATAAAAGGCGGTAGACGATTTCTTACAATAAAATTACTATGTGTGTGCGTGCGTGTGTGTTTTTGTGTTTGGTGGTTATTTTTTGTGAGTCATACAAGCCAGCTGTACTACTGATCAACAGGAATAACTGTATTCTTCTTCTTCTTTCTTCTTCGTTTTAAATTGCCCCTTGCAAAAACAACATAACACAAGCATGCTTCTTCTTCTTCTTCAAAATACCTCGAACTATAACGGCAAACAACAACAAATTTTAAGCAAACTCAAATGTGACTACAATAAATGTATTTCGTCTCATAAAAGACAAATATGCTGTAAGGAGAAAAATTTATATTTTTTGGATTTTTTTTTATTTTATTTTTAATAAATGTAACTAATGAAATAATATTGTTTGAAATGATTTTTTCTCTTTTTAAATATTTTTTGTCGCCCTGAAAAGGACGGATTGGTTGATTTTGTATGGATTTTTTGTGTTTTATACGATGGTCTGTATTCACTCCATAATACCTTTCGCAATAATTTAGGCTTTCTTTTCGGTCTTCTTGGGCAAGAGAACAGCTTGGATGTTTGGCAATACACCACCTTGGGCGATAGTAACACCAGACAACAATTTGTTCAATTCTTCGTCATTACGGATGGCCAAACGATGAATACGACCGACGGGGAATTGAAGACCAGCACGATTGGAACGGGACTTTGCCTTTCCCTTAACTTTGCCACCTTTACCACGACCAGACATTTTCACTTTATTTTATTTTTAAACACTTCACTTAGCACTGAAAAACACAGAATGATAAAAATTGCCTTGGCACCCCGTAGTATTTATACTTTTCTCGCACACACATTACTATACTTAGGGGTGTGTAGCTATGTATTATACATAGCAGCTGTGACTACCTGAAATTGTTGAACATTTTAATCTACAAATATGTAGTTGGCTGCCCTTGTATTTTTATTCTGTGAACAGTGTTAAAAGTGTTTGTGTGATTAAAAAAAATTAAAGTGAAAAATGCCTCCTAAAACCAGTGGTAAAGCAGCAAAGAAGGCCGGCAAAGCCCAAAAGAACATCACCAAGGGCGATAAATCGAAGAGACGTACCAAGCGTAAGAAAATATTTTAAAAGAGATCAAATTTTTGTTGAAACCATATTTATGCATTTTTAGTTAATAAAGAAAATTTTTAAATAAATAAAATTAAAAAAAATATTTTAAACCATATTTTTAATTTTTTTTTTTTCAGAATATTATTTTTCATAAATAAATTATATTTTATCAAACCAACATTTTTTTCTTTCGTCTTTTTTCATTACATATATTTTTTTTTTTTTTCAATAAATACCAAAATTCTAAAAAAAAATTAAAATTCCATATTTTCACTGAAAATAATATATTTCCATTCATTTGTACTAACTCACATTGCCTTATGCCAACGCCGTTGCTTGCTTTGTTAGTCGTTGCTTGTTTACTTGTGCTATATGGGTATAACAACATATCGCACAAGCAGTCGTATGTGTGTATGTATTGGTGCGATTTTAGTTCGTTGTGCTATAGTAGACATCAGTGCCATACGAACGAATATGTGAATGGGCAACATCTATGTACAAGCATTTTTTCTTCAGTACAGCAAAGGCATATGACAAATATGAAGTAGGGAGATTTTTTGGCGGGAAAAAAATTAGTGGTGGAATTCTTTCCAAGGAAAAATATGTTTAAAATGGTGATTATAAATTGTTGATGAAAAATTAATGAAATTCAAAAATTTTAGAAAATATTAAAATATTTAAAATAATCCATTTGTGGCGTCATTTTGTGGAATGTCCATAAATAAACAGGCACACTTTTACCTAATACTATAATTAGCAAAATCTTTTTTTTTTCTCCTAAAATTAAAACACATGTGGATTTTCTCATTTATTTAGGTAGTAGTAAAAATAATAAAAGTAATTTGTTTATAGTATGAAATAAATATTTTGTCTCTTTTAGAATTTAATTTGTAGCCCTGAAAAGGGCTGTTAGATATTATGTTTTCGAATATCGAAAAAATTCTTGACAAAGTAATTTTTGTGGGAAAAATTACTTCTTGGCGGCGGCTTTCTTGGCAGCTGGCTTCTTTGGCGCTGCGGCTTTTTTGGGCTTAGCAGCGGCTGTTTTTGCCTTGGGTGCCTTTGGTTTGGTGGCAGATGCTTTAGCGGCGGTCTTTGCGGGTTTTGCCTTAACTGTACCGGTTTTCTTGGCAGCCTTGGCCTTTGTTTTGTCAGCCTTCTTCTTTTCAGCGGTCTTTTTGGCGGCAGATGGTTTTTTGGCAGCTGTCTTCTTTTCGCCGGCAGCCTTTTTAGGGGCGACCTTCTTCTTATTTTGTTATTGGTCGAGCCGTATAACATAGGTACATCGAAAAGATGAGAAGTGCATAGTAGTCAATTGGTATATTTTTCGAATTATTGTGTGGAAGCGTGTTAAATTTTTTACAAAAGTTTTCGGAGAAATAAATTTTTTGCGAGGAAGCTTAGAAAATTCTCGAAAAAGATATTTTACATTTCGAAAGTATAGATTTCAGGCTTCATTTTGCAAAAGATTTCATGTAATTATCATAAGCCGTTAGCGAGTTATAGACGTTTAACTTCAAAGATTATGAATTTGAAATCACAAATTTCTAACTAAATTTGGAAAAAATCCAAAAAATTTTGAAAATTTTCGTAAAATTTCTTTTTGATAATATAGCCTGATATGTTTACTTTAGGATAAAACAAAAATATTGACCAATTTTACATTTTCTATGTGAGAAAAAATTAAATTTATTATGTGGTCTATGACAGCAGAAATCCTCTTGTTGGCATATTTTCAATGAAGAAAACTTTTTCTACAAATAAATTTGAAAGCTCAAATCTTATTAACTTTTATAAAAATTTCTTAAAAAACATTTCAGAATTTGTATATTTACACCAAAATAAAACATTATTCATAAAAAGTCATTAATTGTTTGGAAAAGTTAAAAATTCCTTACAATATCATATACTACCAGTGAACGAACATTCATCAACAAACGGCAATTTTTTTTTTTTTTCAAAATAACATATTTTGGCAAAAATAAATTCATTTTAATTTAAAAATATTCTAAAATAATTTATAAATCAGTTATTTATTAATTTTCCATATAATTTTGCCAAATTTTGGCAAAAAAAAATATATTAAAAATAATTTCGTTTTTACTATTACCTTTCATGGCAGAGCAGAGTACAAAGAAATTTCATGGAATTAAATATAAAATTACATAGAATTTTTTTTACATGGTAGAAAATTAGCTGGAAAAGAAAAAACATGCATATTTCATTCTTCATTCATGGGGATGTTTGCTGTAAAAAAAAAAAAAAATATTGAGGGGAAATTTTTTTCGCGCCAAAAACAACATATTGCATTTATACATAAGAGGATTTTTTTTTGGAAGGGGAAAAATGGAGGGAAGCATTTTCCCGCCAATTTGGAAAAATGTGAATAGAAAACAATTAAACAAACAATGTGAAAAAAATTTCATCATGTGACAATTCAAAGGAAAAATTTTAAATAGAAACAAAGAAAAAAAATAATAATAAAATAATTTAAATAATAAATCTGAATAATTAAAATTTTAACCAGAATTAAAAAAAGAAAATAATTTCTTACGAAATCAAAATTAAAATGAAAAAAAAAATAAAATAAATTAAATAGAAAATCATATTATGAAAATGTTGAGAAAATGTATGAAAAATCATTTTTAATGAAAAGAAAAGGAAAGCGAAAAAAATTATAATTTCAAATGAAAACATAAATGTTTGGAAATTTTACTCGAAATAAAAAAAAAATAAATAAAAAATCCTATATTCCTATCAGCCTCAAATAAATTAAAACAACGTAAAAAACATTTTTATTTAATAAAAAAATTGTAATAATAGTAAATAATTTGTTAAAAATTTAATCTCTTTTTTAATATATTTTGTGGTCCTGAAAAGGACCGATTGTTTTGTTGTAAAAAAATGAGTTTTCAAAACGTCAAGTAAATTAAGCACGTTCTCCACGATCTGGTAACGACGGATTTCACGCAAAGCGACTGTACCGGGACGGAAACGATGAGGCTTCTTAACACCGCCGGTGGCTGGTGCGCTCTTACGAGCGGCTTTAGTGGCCAATTGCTTACGAGGAGCCTTGCCACCAGTCGATTTACGGGCAGTTTGCTTAGTACGAGCCATTTTTCACTTTAATTTTTTTCTTTTCACTTCACTAGGTATGCACACAAACACTGTTAACACTGTAATAACTCGGGAACCGCGCCAGAAACGAGTATTTATAGAAAAGCAACATTGATGCAGAAAACAACAAGTAAACAAGACGGAACAACATACCGAACATCACAACAAATGAATAATGACGAGATGCCAATTTTCAACAATGAAGTCGAAAGTAGCCCAACGCAATCTAATAAAAGTAATATTAATAAAGGTAAGGTCAGCCCACCACCTGTATTCAAAATATATAATGTTAGTTCTAAAGAAATATATAATAAATTATTAGGATTATTAGGTCATAAACATTTTAAGACCGATATAGTAAATAAAAATATGATAACATTAAAAGTATTTAAAAAAGAAGATCACAGCAAAGTTAAAGCAATGCTTTCTCAGTTGAAATATTCATTTTATACCTTTACTCCTAGAGATGAAAAACCAATATCTCTAGTAATTAATAACCTGTCAAGTGAATATGAGGAACAGGAGATTATAAATTATTTTAAAGAAATAGAAATGAATGTTAATATAATAAGAGCAATTAATTTAAAAAATAATAAGTGGGTTGTACAGCTCTCAAAAGATTCGAATGTTAAGGCATTCAGGAGGCAAAAATATATTTTTAATGGTGGAATTCATATTGAAAATTACAAAAGCAAGGGAGTAGTACAATGTAAAAATTGTCAGAGAACAGGGCATGTTGCAAATAATTGCAACATGTCTTATAGATGCTGCAAATGCAAAGAAAGTCATGGACCAGGTGAATGTTTAATTCCGCCAAAAGAAAAAAATACTGCTGAAATTATAATTACAGATAGTGTTACAGGACAAGTTAGAAAGCAAATAGGTATGACTGTGCATTGCGTCAACTGCAAAGCCGATGGTCATGCAGCTAGTGACAAAAATTGTCCAGTTAAATTAAGAATTAAGGAGAAAATTCAGCGTAAATATGAAAATTCAATAAAAATTTCAGATAATGAAAGGGCACCTGCTATGACTCCAAATTTGTCATATGCAAATGCATCCAAATTAAATCAAGAGGTAGGCAAAAATAATGGAATGGCATCTTTTAAAATTTTTAACGAGGACTGCAAGAAATATATAGGCAAGGATATGCTAACAACTTTAAGAAAGATAGACGAATATGCCAAAAATAGAAAACACCTAGTCACAGATGAAGAAAAAGCGCAAGCAATCTTTGGTTTGCTATTAGAATTAAGATTGAATGACTAATTTAAAAATAATATTTATAAATGTTAATTCAATAGTGTCTAGACATAAAAGACACTATTTAAACTTATTTATTACAAAAAATAATCCTGACATTCTACTATTAGCAGAGCACAAGCTCTCTAATAAGCATTTATTACAAATAAAGAATTATAAAATTTTTAGGCAAAATAGGGTGGATGGCCGTGGAGGTGGAACGGCCATATTGGTCAAAAATTGGATTAAAGCAGAGCAAATTTATGCCAATTTAGGGGAACTTGAGGGAACAATTGTAGAGGTTAAGTCTCTTCATCATAAAATAATAGTTATGGCTTTATATAATAGACCACAAAACAAAATTTTATCAAATGATCTAGTCAATATAGGTAATATAATAGGAAATGATGAGGCAATTATTGGGGCTGACCTAAATGCGAAAAATCCATTATGGGGAGGAAATATTTTTAATGCAAGTGGTCGAGTATTAGGCGACTGGTTAGATACCTCTCCTAATATAATAATTAGACCTACAAACCAACCAACAAGAAGTTCATTTAATTGCCATTCTTACATAGATTTTTTTATTACCACAACAAACATAGTCACGTTAGCATATGATCCATCAAACTGTGTAGACACGTTAGATTACAATTCAGACCACAAAGCAATAGTTATAAATATCAAATCCAATCAAATAGAGAGACAACAGGAAATAGAAATATATAATTTTAAGAGTTTTAACAGGTCAAAATTTAATAGAATACTAGTAGAAAAACAGAATGAACTAAGTCTTCCAATAGATAGAAATGCTTCCAAGGCCGAAATTGATGAGGAGGTCAGCAAACTACATCAAATAATAAATCATGCCATGGATTGTAGTATGGAAAAAATTAGGCCCAAATATGGAATGATGGCAGAACTACCTCAAGAAATTCTAGATCTAATTAAAAATAAAAAAAGAATTAGAAGAAGAAGATTTAGAGTCCTAGACTCCACAGAATATAATACCCTCGGTTCAATATTGAAAAGATTAGATAAAATAATAGAAGAAAAAATTAAAATATTTGAAGAGGAATACTATACGGAAAAATTAAGTAAAATAAATTGTAATGGCGACATGTTCAAAAAAGTTAAGCAATTCTGTGGAGCAAAGAAGAGAAAAATGCATGATCTTGTAGATGAAAATGGAAATAATATTACGGACAATACAAATAAAGCTAATTTAATAGCAAATGAATTTGGAAAAATACAAAACTCTTGTAATTTTCCAATAACAGAAAATAATAGTGAACAAAATAATCCGGTTGTTAACTTTTGTAACGAGTTAAAGGCAGATGGTAGCAACAATAGTATAGAGAGACAGGGTATTAAATTTTTAAAATCAACTGATATAGGAATTGCACTAAGTAGGTTAAAAAATAAAAAGAGTAGTGGTAATGATGGGATACCAAATTTTATACTAAGGAAGATAAATAAAGAATTTTTTAACAATTTTGCAATTTTATTTAATCAATGTATTAATATAGGCTATTTCCCAGAAGCATGGAAACATGCTAAAATAGTACCAATTCTTAAACCAGGTAAAGACCCAACATCTCACAAAAGTTACAGACCTATTTCACTCCTATCAAATATTGGTAAATTATTAGAGATGTTTATTTTGGATATTCTAAATGAGCACATAGAAAATAATAATATAATAAAAAATTATCAGTTTGGTTTTAGGAAAAAACATTCTACAACACAAGCACTGATAGTTTTAGCAAATAAAATCTCACAGGGATTTAATAATAGAAGTTCGACCATAATGGTAAGCCTCGATTTTGAAAAAGCCTTTGACACCGTGTGGCAAGATGGTTTATTAACAAAATTAACAAACACATATAATTTTTCGCCATTAATAGTAAGACTATTGAAAAGTTATTTAGATAAGCGGTCTTTCTCGGTAATGATAGAAAATAAAAATTCCAATAACCACACCATAAAAGCAGGAGTCCCTCAAGGATCAGTGTTAGGTCCAGTGCTTTATAACCTATACCTAGCCGATTTACCAGAGCCCGAAACTGGCATATCACTCATTACATATGCTGATGACATTTTAATTGCGGCCACCCACCCTAGAGCCAAAATTTCCCAAAATAAATTGAATAATTATTTAAATGAGCTGCAAGAATATTTTGAAATATGGAAGCTAAATTTAAATATAAATAAGTGTAAAACTATAACAATCAAAGGCAAAAAATCTCGTTTGTACAAAAATTGTAGAAAATTTAAGCCAAAAATAAAAATTAATGAAACCATAATAGAAAATGTTACAGATCTGAAATATTTAGGAATAAATTTCGATGAAAAATATTCTTTCCATAAGCATGTACAAAATGCCATGAGAAAAGCAAAGGCGGCATTCTACAGTATTATACAGGTGCTATACAGAAAAAGGGGATTGAGCACAAAGATAAAATTGTGTCTGTATAAGCAATTAATAAGGCCAATTATTTCGTATGGATTTCCCATCTGGTTTGATATATCTTCGACACAAATGGAAAAAATCAGGGTTTTTGAAAGAAGAATGCTCAAATATTGTTTAAATTTGAGAACTACTAGAACAGACGATGGAAACTTTAAAGCTCCGTCAAGAAAAAAAATATATAACACAAGTAAAGTTGAGCGCGTAGACAAATTTATGATGTTGTCAGCCTTAAAAGTTATTGAGAGTTGTACAACCCATGAAAATCCATTAATAAACAATTATATAATTGATACTGATAAATTCACCAGATATGTACAAAATGATGGTCACCTTTCGCCAATGTGCTTAATCCATTTAAAAAACAACAACATGATTTTCAACAATGAAGAAAAAATACTATTTTATAATTTAAAATACGGTACAAGGTACATAAATGAAAATAATTTTGTATATAGCACAGATCAATACTGAATTTAATAAATTTCAAATCATTGTAAATATTGTAAATAGTAGTTTTAAGTAGTGTAGGTAGATTTTAAGTGTTACTTTTATTAATGAATTACATTTTATTTTATTTTCTTTTGTTTAGTTTTCATTATTTAGTATATAAGATAAAAATAAACAATGTATTAAAAGTTTTTATTCCCTTTTCTTTTAAAATTATAAAAAACCGATTGACATAGTCAAATTAAAATAACAATTTATAAATGGGCTGACCGAACCTTGCATTAAATTTTAAATTAAATATTCCTAGAAAAAGAGTAACTCTGTTAGGAACAAATACTATTATATAAGATTTAGTCTTAAGTTGCTATATGTTGTAAAAATTATATGGGAAATAAAAATGAATTGAATTGAATTTGTAAAATTATTACCGAAAATATAATTATGAATTGAACAAAAGAACAAAATGAATACTTTGTATTGAAGAGTAGACGATAGACACCTTTTTAAAATAAGGAAGTAATTATAGGCAATAATGAATTTATTTTAATTTAGATATCTAATTTAGATATCTGGCATACTATAATAAATTTTCTAATAGTTCACTGAGCATTGATGATTACGTTAAAGAATATATTCGAAGTGAATTCAAATACCTTTTTCGAAGTTAAGCTATATAAAAACCTTTACATAAATAAGTCATTAAAGTCATTCATGACTCTCTCTCCGAACCTTCGGAACCCCATCAAACCTTGCACGCAGTGATTTAGTAAATATACAAAAATTCAAAATCCTATTATTTTTGCACTTGTCATTCATAAGTTATTAGAACATGTTTTAG